TGTTGTTTTGCATCTCTTTGGTCATTGTGTGTCTCTTTTTAAGTTGTTTTGCATCAATTTCTGGTAGTTTTGTGTCTTTTAAGCACTTGTTTCGTGCCTCTTTGAAGTTGTTGTGATTGCTTTGTATCTGTCGGGGGTTGTTTTGTGTCTCTTTTGCGACTGTTTTGCATCTGTAAGTAGTTTTGTGTCTCTTTGTAGTTGTTGTGTGTCTTTTTGTGATCGTTATCTACCTGTTTGTGGTTGTTTTGTGTCTCTTTGTAGTTGTTTTGCATTATGTTTCCTCTTTCTATGTAGTTATTTAGTGTCCCATTGTAGTTTTGTTTTGCATTTTGGATGATGTACTGTAAACTTAATACAGCAGGAGTCCTAACAAAACTACAAAATCCTTAAGAGAAGAAAAACTTGTATAAGACCATCAAATAAAATAAAGAAAACGAAGCAGACTGCAAAGCAGGCAGATATCCAAAACAAAGATCATGTAAATGACAAGACATCATAGAATCAATCAACTCACAAAACACAAAGGAAAGAGAAAAGAATAATAAAAGTGCCCCAATAATGAAAGTCCATTTTAATAAAAGAAGGTCTTGAGAGGGTAATTCTGTTTTATTCACTTGCATTTTCTGTGTCTTTGTAGTCATTAAACATCTTTTGTGGTTTTGCTTTGCAAGAAATACTAACAGCACCAAATCACTCAATCACTCAGTCATTATTTTTTTTAGTGTTTTTACCTACTTTGTAAAAGGTCTTTGAGTGTCTTGAAAAGGACAATATAAGAACAATTATTTCTCCTTCTTCTTCTTTGTAACTTGTGCAAAGACTGGCAGTATAACATGTCGACATTAAAACACTTAAAATCCATGTAAAATACTGCATTATTTTCACAAGATTCACCTGAAAGCTCTGGAAAACTTTACAAAGTGTGTGCATGTAATAAGAGAACAGAAAACATAAGAATGAATATTTTATCTGAACCTCTTCAACATGTCTCACGTGTATGTGCCCCCAGGCTTCCTTCATGTTTAATTTAGTTCTATGTTATGTTTGTGTGTCTATTTGTGTCTGTAGTTTACATGTGTATTTGTTCCTGCTGGCGCCTCTTGGCCAGGTCATGTTTGCAAATGAGAACTGTTTCTCAAACATTTCTACCTGGTGAAATAAAGGTCAAATTAAATCAAATTTAAAAAAATGTCAGACCAGCTGTGATTTGAAGAGTTTAGGCGCCTCCTGCTGGTCAGAGGCGGAAACAGCAGCTTTAAAAATCCACACTTTGGAGCCTCGGACATGTCAGTGAACACCTCCAGGGACATTTTTCAACAAGTTTCACAGTTTTCAGAGCGATCAGCTGTGTGTCCTGTGTTTAGCGAGCAGCATCCCTGCATGGGAACATGATGAATGAGCTTCATGTGACATCACGACACTATGAGCTTGTTGTTCCCACACAGATGTGGGGAGAGTCGTCGTATTACAGCCGGCCGCCTGCACAGTGCTGCCTTGTCCACATGCGAAGCCATTATGTGTCCCAGTTTGTGCCAGTGTAACTTTCTGTCATTATTATCAAGTGAAGGAGAGGGAAACTGTTCTCAACCCCCAGATCTGTGCTTAGATGGAAAGAAAGATAGGGTGAACTGCAGCTCAACACTTTGATCCCTTTGAAACTTTGAAAATAATATTAGTGCATGACCTGATTCACACAGAAAACCCAGGATTTTAATGGAATGTAAAGAGAAAGATAAAGTAGCAAAATAGCAAGATTGTATATATAATCAATACACAAATACAAACTAGTAAGACATCTAAAATAAAGAAATCTGGCTCTGAGTAGCATGATGAGGCTCAGTGAGGTGGCTAGAAAGTGTGTTTTCATATACATTTTAAGAAATTTTACATATAGTTTTTGTTTTTTTCCCCCCCCTCTAAAATACAATTCAAAAAGAATGTTCAGAATAATCAGGAGCTAGGCCTGTGCAGAATTAGCCTCAGGCTTATTTAATGTTTTAATCTCTTTTGATTTTGTATACGATTTGTGCTGATTTTGTCGACTGTCTGTTTTCCAGAGTTCTGGTTCTACCCCGGGGTCTCCTCCCAGTGAAATAGCTTAAGCTAATCATTGATATTAAATGCTGCAAGTCAGCTACTCTAAATTAAAATTTCTATGAATAGACAGTGAAATTAGTTTCATATAGCTTCAACTAAAACATCCGTACTTTTGACAAACACCATACTTGTTACTCGGGTTAATTCACCATTCGTCCACCTCAACATTTACTGGTCATATTTTGTTTAACAGTGACAAAAAGTTCCCATTTTTGTCACTGAACAAGTTATTTCTGTCCTTGCAGCTGTTTTATCTTATGTTTTCTTGTTTTAATTTAATTCATACATTCCACTGATTATCCTAGACATCTCCTACAGCAGCTTTAAGATAATTAAGTTCACTGCATTCTACAAGATCTGACATACGTCTATTTGACATTCGTATAACCAAACTGGACACTTCATAAGGTAAAGCTGTAAAGTGATTTCCGAATTGTACTTTGACAATGCTTCTAAATGTTGTGACTGGTCTTTGCAGCAGAACCATTTCAAGCCATCAAGAACTTGCTTCATCAGACAGAAGAACAAGAAGTCCTTCAACAGATGGTATAAAACTGACAGAACCTGGACCTTGATCTCATCATCATGGACTGAAGACACTGAGACAGACTGAATCCACAGAATCACCGCGGCAAGTTCTCCAGGTCTGACACAGTCTAAAACTAGTCTTCCCAAAACCAGTTTCACAACCAGATTCTAAACCACGTCGACAGCCGGGTCCAAAAACAGTTTCAAATTGTCCAAAAACAATCTAAAACCAAGTCTAAAACCAGGTTCAAAAAGGTTAAAACTAACCTTAAATAAGCTCAGAAGCAATTTCAAAACAATCTAAAACCAGACCTAAACCACTTCAATACCAGGTCCACAACCAAATGCAAAACTAGGTGTAGAACCAGGTCAGAACCAGGTCTACAGCCAGGTCCAAAACAACTAAAACAAGCCCTAAACCAGTCCAAAATCAGGTCCACAACATCATTCAAAATCAGGTCCACAGTGAGGTCCACAGCCAGGTTTAAAACAGTCCAAAACAGCCTGAAACAAGTCCTAAACCAGTCCAAAACCAGGTCTACAACCAGATCCAAAGCTAGATTCAGAAAATGGTCCACAACCAGATCCAAAACAACTAAAACTAGCCTGAAACCAGCCCAAGGGCAGGTTCATAACCAGGTCCAAAACAAATCCAAAGCTAGGCGTAGATCCAGGTTTACAGCCAGGTTCACAACAGCTAAAACCAGTCCTGAACCAGTCCAAAACCAGGTCTAGAACCAGATCCAAAGCTAGATTCAGAAAATGGTCCACAACCAGATCTAAAACAACTACAACTAGCCTGAAACCAGCCCAAGGGCAGGTTCATAACCAGGTCCAAAACAAATCCAAAGGTAGGCATAAAACCAGGTCTACAGCCAGGTCCACAACAGCTAAAACCAGTCCTAAACCAGTCCAAAACCAGGTCTAGAACCAGATCCAAAGCTAGATTCAGAATCAGGTCCACAATTAGGTTAAAAACTGCTAAAAGTAACCTGAAACCAGCCCAGTAACAGGTTCATAACCGGGTCTAAAACCAGTCTAAAATCCAAGTCTGAAACCGTTCCAGCACCCTGATCTCCACACCATAGAGTCAGTCTAGGTTCATATGTGAAGAACTGTTCTCCAAGATGCTGAAAACCTTCCTGCCTGCTACCTAATGTCTGAAAGCATTTTGGGAAAACTTGGCTTTTGTATGTTACATGTATATGTTGAGTATGTGTGTTTATATGTTTGTTTGCTTGTTTGTTTACTGTATGCACATGGACTCATCACCAGTGAACCTCACGTTAAGAAGCAGCTTGAAGCAGGTCGGTCCAACCTGCTCAGTGTTGTGATACGTGAGAAATGTTTCCAGCTGCCAACATTCTTGTGCTGGATTCCTCCCAGAATGCATCAGGGCCACCGGTACAGAATGAGCCGTCCAGCTAAAAGAGATGCAAGTATTTTAGTGGGAGGCTGCGAGTCCTCTGCTGGCAGGCGCTTAATGCAATATGCGGCCGTAAGATGAAGTCACAAACATTGCGACTGTAGTCTACTCCCACTCTCGGGGCAGCACAGACGGGGCATTATGTGGACGAGTACCAGCTGGTACCACGGGCTCCTCATCCTCCTCGGGACTTCATTTGTTGCTGCCTCTGAAATCGGGACATGGAAGTGAAATCGAAGAGCAAACCTGTGGACGTTCTCCTCGGATGCATCGTCGCCGTCTGCTTTTCTGCACTTTGCTCGGCTGAAAGACGTGAGTAGAGCTCTGACTTGTGTGGAGGGCTCAGGATGGGCAGATCAGCACTGGATATGTGTGTCTGTGTCGGGTTTTGGCCCTTTTAAAGTGCCGGATCCCAACTTTGTCATAACATTGCTGCCTGTAAAATGAAGATGAATTCTTTTGGGATACTTTTAAAGACTTGGAAAGGTCAAACTATCTGGAAGTTCACAAGAAATCAGCAAACATACCACTGTTTAGCTGATTTCTGTGATTGTTTTGTGACCTTGCAGATTCTGGGTCTCCTGTATGTCAAGGAGTTTGTTTAGCAGCATAACACCAAGCAGACCTATTATACAGTAAATAAGAAGTACAATGTGAAGATTTGCTTTAGAACAAGACTGAGATAATGTCAGAGGTTAGGATTCAGTACACTGACGGCAAACTGGAGCCTCAGCGGCCTTGACGTCTCTGGTCGAGGCTTGTGTTGTTGTTGGAGACTTTTTAGGGAATCTGAACAACTTTCATCAATATTAACAAAGAATTATGAGCTGTTGTTTTGCCCCTGATGTAGAAGAGTCAGCATCTAGTTTATAAATCTGTATTATGCTGGTTTGTTTGCTTTTGTTTACAGGAGAGTGTTCTGACAAATCAGGATGTTTTACCAGCAGATACATAAACTGTCTGAACCTCAAGCAGTTTTTGATGATTTTATGTTTTTGCTCTCGTCACATTTTTACTCACTGTGGGCTCATTTTTCACAGCAATTTTAAGTCCTGCACCTCTATGGAAACAACACAACCATGACTAGAGGTAGAGAGAACTCAGGATGCATTCTGTGCTGTATGACACAGTTAAAATGCCATAAATCATAAAAGAAAATTTTAAAGACTCAAACAAAACTTGATTTTCTTTCTTTATTTTACAAAAAATGGAAAAAAAATCAACATTTTTCTGAGAGCACACAGGTGTTAAATATACAGGAAAACATGGAGGCTCTACACTTTATAGGTATTGTAGTAATTCCATTTTAGTCTCTACAAACTTGTTTCCACTCTGCTCTGCACATCAGCTCCATAAAGATGTTTCACCGTGCTGAATGTATCTCAACAACTTGCTCCTCTGAACACTGTTTCTGAGAAATGCTGCATTTATTTGACTGATCCAGTATTTTCCTCTCAGTCCGTCTTGCCGTCTCCTCTCTACTCTCTGGAAACTCTGTCTGCAGTTCCGAAAACTCAGAGTTTGTGTCACATGACTGTTGCTCACAGCTGAGTCAGTCGTGACCTCTGAGTTGTGCCGAGATCTGCAGAACTGTATTTATTTATTTATTTTTACACAATCTAGTGCAAATGGGTTATTTGTGGCATAATATTTGAATGAGACATATAAAGCAAAATGATTTAGATTAAATATCACAATGTTAAGTATGTTTTTTGTTATATTTCCTGATGTAACCACACGTCACACAGGACATTTACAGACCGTCAGAAAGTTGAAAATCTGCCAAGGTTTTTTCCCAGTTTTTCCAGTTTCTGGTTCTGATAAACAGTGTAATTTTGGCGTGTTTATTTTCTAAAGGAAACATGCCTTTTAAACTTGTTGGTTAGTTTTGGGGTTCATAGGGTTTAGGTTAAAAAAAAAAATCTAAACATGATATGACAAATAGGAAACAAAACCCAGACTGGGCAAAGGGCTTGACTGCAGGCCCTAAAACCTCCGCGTTCACCTCATCATTTGTCCTCATTGGTTCATTATTCATACATTTTTTATTGCACCACTGAAGTAGAACATCAAACTTTAGAAGGGCTGTTGTGTCAGAATCTAAACTGTCTCTGTTCATCTGGAAAGCACATTTTATTGTTTCATCAAATCACTTCCATATTGTACGTTTGCCAACACAGAAAACCTCAGGTCAAGTCGTTTTGTCCCGTCATGGGAGAAGTGCAGGGCTGCAACCAGCAGCTATTTACACGATCAATACATCAGACAATACAAACAAAAAGAATGTCTGAGAACAAACGAAACTGACACATATAAGGCCTCGATAACATCAGTGAGCTCGATTTCAAAGATGTAGATATAATGTGTATGAATGAACATGAAATTAATCCAAACTTGGCCAAAACAAACAAACAAACAAACAAAAACAAACCAAAAAAACTGTAAAATTGTAAATTGTACATATGGAAATCTTTGTATTGTATTATTTTTTCCTGCTTGTTTTTTTACTTCTTATTTTTATTTCATTTTTGTATATTCATATTTATTTTGTGCGACTGTTATAAAACAATTTCCCTTGTGGATCAACAAAATTTATCTAAGTCTAGTCTAAGTCTAAATCTATTAATTTTATTATCAACAACAACAACAACAACAATAATAATATTTTTAACTAGATTCTGTAGAGACAGAAGCAAAAGAAGATGTGTCTTAGTAAATATATGTAATTAAAAAAAAAAAAAAAAATCCAATCAACTGGATAATCAAAACATTAAGAAATTAATCTGCTTCATGCATTTTTCAGCATAAAGCAGCAAAAAGCAGGCATTACAAAAATAAATGTAAACTGTTGGGATGAACAAGTTCCAAACAGGTTTTCTCAAAGTTGTCACTCATAAAAAATACCTAGAACTTGGTTTGTTGATGATGATTAATTAGATGATTCATGTCCTTACAACTGTAGTTAAAGCAAACTGAGCAGCAGTTGTTCCAGTTTTTCCTCCCTTACTGATGTCAGCTTGATGTTATTGTTCCTCTAACTGTGTGTGATGTTTCTAAATGTGATGTTTCTGTCCTATAATATTTCTGATCTGTGGTTTTTTCTCCTCTCCCAGTGTGCACGGTGCCTCCTGGTCCGGTGTCGGTCCCAGAAAACAGCACGGCTGATGTCCAGGTGGTGAAAATCATCTCCAGCAGTGATGTGATTCTGACGGTCACGGTGAACCCTGAGGACCTGTTCTACCTGAAGGGGAACCTGCTGATGGCGAAGAAAGGCCTCGACTACGAGGTAACGCCGTTCAGCACCGGGATGTTCGGTCACTGTCTGAGTTTGGTGTCTTCCTTTACATGAATCAAGACTTTTTCATCATTAATTGATGCAGAAAAAAAACACAAATTGATGCATTAAAAACACAGAAGGTTTCCTGTGGAAGGACATCCAGACCTCTGACTGATGTGTCTACAACTCAAGAAGCACAAACAATAAAATATAACAGAGATTATTAGTCCATTTTCATGATGTTCTAAAAGCCAGTTTCTTGATTTATTTAAGAAAATTTACTTAACAAGTGTGGCCTGATATTGGCTAAGAAGTTAAAGCTCAAAGTGCAGCTTTGTTTTCATTATAAAATACAAGTTTTGACCATAAAATGCAGTTTTAGGCCCAGAAATGTGTCATCAAATGTATAATTTAGCAGATTTTATTTTTGTGTGTGTGTGCTGTTGTTATGCCACATGTTAAGTATTTTAAATAGTTTAAAAGTAAAGCAGAATTAGAATTTTTGAACACTTTATCATTTTATTCATGCACAAAAAAATGTGTAAGGTTGTTTAGTTTCTTCAGACGTTTAGGCAACAGAGTGCTTTTTGTTTTCCCTGACTAAAGAAATCCTAAAGAGCTGAATTAGAATAGAATAAAACGATAAAATAGTATTTAAAGGGGGTGTTACAGGAAGAAAAATAAAGATAAAATAAATATATTTCCAAAGAAAATGTGCATTTAAATGTGTCGAAATGCAACAACATGCACAGGCTGCAATTAAGTTTTGAGGTTTGTAGGATTTATGAAAACAGAATTTCATGGGTCAAATGTGCTTTTTGACTGACAGCAAAAGAAAAACAGGTGTGTTACCTAAAATATGAAGAATCCAATGCAAGCAGTGAGGTCTGTGTCTTCTGTTTTTTGCCGTGTGTCTTTTTGTCTGGGCGGATGTCACTATCTAGATGTGGAAGCTATGATTTGGAGTTTATTGTGTCTTCTACCTGCACCAGCAGAAGATGCACCAGTAGAGAGAACCTTTAATTACCATCTTTTAAATATAATGATGTTTTTTTTTTTTTATCTGTGTGTGTTTTGCAGTCGTTGTCCACTTCAGCTCTGGTGGTTTGGGTTCAGTGCAGCAGGTCCGGCTCCAGATCTGTGAGTACAACTATCACATCAAACACGTTCTCACACGAAAATAAGCAAATGATGTGAGAAATGGGCGAGAACTAGGAATCACGAGGCTCTTCTGTCTTCAAGGTGAACGAGTCCGTTGAGGTTCTGGTTGAAAACGTGAACGATAATCCTCCAAACTTCGCTCAGAACCACTACATGCTGGACGTGAACGAGGTGAGAGGCGTTGGTTTCCCACGTTTGCAGAACTGCGTCTTGTTTACTTTCCTGCTTTGACTCTGAGTTTTGTTTCCTGCAGCTCATTCCAGTGAACTCCAGCGTTGGACTGATAGAAGCTACTGACGTGGATTCAGAGCCGCTGTTCTACCGCTTAGAGTCTGCAACAGTAAGGCTGCGTTTGTTTTACGAGTATGAGAAGGTGGTTCTGGGTGATGGAGACATCAGGAGACGATGCACATAGATTAACAGCATTTAAATGTAATGTCTGAGTGGTTCCCAACCTGAGGCTCAGGACCCCGGTGTGGTCTTGTCAGGCATCTTAATCGGTCACAAGGGATTAAGGGAGACAGAAAAAACGAACTTGGAGGATGCATGCTGTGTGTTTGTGTGATGAAAAGCTGCTAAAGAAAGCAGCAAGATGTCTGTCAAGGTATTTATAAAACATCTTTAAAAGAGCAGACGATGAGTGCTTTCCTTTAGAGGAATAAGATTAATGTCGCAACATGACCTGACTTTTATAAATTAAGGTGTAAACAAAGGTTGAGTTTCCACAATAACAAACATCATACATAATGATATGCCTTCACAGATATACAGAAATCACAGTGAATCCAAAGACTTCCTTTGAGCAAACAGAGCATAGAGGAAACACTCCACTCCAATGTTGTCAAAAGTTCCTTTGTTTGTCTGTCTTGTTGTTGTGTTCCTACCTGATTTGTAAAGCATCTTTGAGTGTCTTTAAAAGTGCTATTCAAGTATTATGATTATTGTTAGAACTACTAAAGGAATATTTAGTGAGCCCTCAAGAAAATTGTTGTTTTTTGTTTTTTTTCTCAGTTTCGTTTAACTTAAAAAAAAAAAACAACAACAAAACAACACGGAACATTTTTTGCCCTTCCAGCCTCTAGACATCCTCTAAATGAAACCGCTCACAACGGATGTCTACATTAAAACCAAACTGACAAAGAACCACAAGAACACGATTTTAAGGAATCATCATCCATGAGAGACTCAGATCTGGTCTGATTAAATCCAGTGCATAAACTGATTCACGTACTTCTCTTTTGATCTTTTTTTTATTTAATCGTCGTGATATCCTGAGTTTAATTTTACCTTTGGCCCTCTGAAGCACTTTATAACTTTGTACTAAAAGGTGCTGCATAAATTCCTTTACTTTCACGAAAGCATTAATAGCACACTGTGAAAAACTCATATAGAAGTAAACTTCATAGATTTAAAACCTTACCTAAGTAAAAGCATGCAAGTAGTTACAGCATAAATGACGTATTGAAGCATCTTATTCTGTGTTAGTGTTTAGCATGAATGTGTTTCATATTTGGATTCATATTACAGCTGTGTTAACGTGTGTTTTACTGCTGTAGATGTTGAGCTGATATAACTACTTTACATAGTGTTAATCTACAGCAGTGCATCCTTTTCTGTAAGACGTTTGTGCTGTCGCTGCTCTGTGACAACTAGTGAGATTCTCCAGCTATGCAACAGGGTGATTAAATTGTTTATTTAGCTCAGGAAGACAGAGAATTTTCTCAACCCGTAAAATATAACACTTAATCGTTAATCGCAAACATTTATAATCTCCAAATCTGGAGACATGCTGTTTAAACTGGACAGGAAGGGGCTGAAAAACAGTGAAAAAGCTGTCGGAGAAACGTAGTGGAGTGGAAATATAACGTTGCACAAAATGGAAATATTCAAGTAAAGTCCCTCAAATTTGTACTTCAGGAGTAAATGTTCTTCCACATGTGATACTGTCGATCAGTATTAATATGATATCTTTTTTGTAGGACAAATATTTCCGCCTGGAAAACATAAACACTCCAAAGATCCTCGTCAAAAGCCTCCTGGACTTTGACGTCGTGCAGAAGATCTCTCTGGTTTTACATGTTCAGGTACAGTCAGGATTTTACTCAAACTGCCTCCAGGTTCGCTCTGATCTCCTTCCACCTTTGACCTCAGAAATGTGCCGCCTGTTTCAGGACACGTTCAACGGTTCGGCCTCCAACGAGCCGTTCTTCACCTCCGTCGCCACCATCACGGTGCACGTGAAGGACGTGGACAACCGGCCGCCGTGGTTCCAGCCGTGTCTCAGGACCAACTTAGGGATGGCCAAACTGTGTGTGAGCAGCGGCTACAGAGGCAAAGTCAACCTGACCGAGAAGGAGGTGAGCATCTGATTTACTGGAATTGATCATATTTCATGTCACAATCTGCCTCGAGGTGTGAGTTTCATGTTTAAATTTAGCTCACGACACTTGAGCTTAAACAGGAAAAGTAGGAGAACTGTTTAGTTTTCAGGGTTGAAGCGCTTGACGAGTGAATTTAGATGCAGAATTATATCTCATTTCTAACATGTGTGGTAAAAAACCATGAGTGGAGGACTCATGTTGGGAGCTGAATAACTACAGATTATTTTAACCCACAGGAAGGTCCACTGGTTCTGGAGCCCGGCCCGGTGTTTGCCAAGGATGGAGACAAGAACAGGAGTGAACAGATCAGCTACAGAATACTGCGAGGTTTGACCTGAACCATATTATTTGTTTATCTACTAACTATTACAGCACATTAGGGTCTCTTTCATGACGATGACGTGATTAAAGAAGAGGGTTTTTGAGTTCTAATCATTTAGTAAATAGCACTTCAGTGTGATTTTTCCACTTGAACATTAATTAAAGCCGCAAGCGGCGATGGACGGGTCCTCGCCCTACGCTTGT